TACAGAGTGTCGGTTGAAAATAGTTATTTTTGACACAAGTACGTAAAATAGGTGATTTTACGAGTGCTGCAAATAACGTATAATTAGAAATACAGTTTTTTTAAGTTCATTTTTTTTTGACAAAATTTCTCTGTTAAGATAAATTAAAAAAATTTGTCCAAATAAAATTTTTTGAAATTTTAAATAAAAATATACTTTTCATATAAAATTTTAAACAAAAAATTTATAAAAAAAATTATAAATACAAAATACATAGGGTCAGTTGAGGTAAATGGGGACAAGAGGTTTTGGAGCTTAATTTCCAGTTTTAAAATTAAGTTCAACGTCAAAATTTTAACCTCAGATCACCTGCAAGAGGTTTTGAGTATTGCCAAGCTTTTATCTTGACAATTGGCAACAAAATAAAAAAAGTTATCGCTCAATGCATAAAAGCTTGAAAATCAAAGTCAAACTTTTTCAGTATTTTCTCTCGCATTTCTAAGAAAACAGACTTAAAAATCATTCCAAAATTTTTTCTTATTCCTTATGACTCCTTTAACAGAAATTCACTTGAATTTTTGATTTTTGTCAATTTGGTTAATAATAACAAGCTGTCCCCATTTACCCTGAGTTTTCAAATTTTTGGGGTAAATGGGGACAGCTTGTCATTATTAACCAAATTAACAAAAATCAAAAATTTAAATGAATTACTGTTATGGGTGTCAGTTCCATGCGTTTAAAGCTTATCTAAATTTTTTTCTGCTGCATAAAATTAATCTTGGGAATGTAAATAACAACTTAAAAAAAAATAAACCCGCAAATATTACCTTTTAAAGGAAGAAACTTACGTAATTTGTGAAAAATAGCGATTTTGTTCCCATTTACTCCAACTGACCCTATATAGAAAATTTTAAATAAAAATGTTAAAAATTTAATAAAAACAAGAATTTTCATTTTCCTAATTAACATTTTTCAGAATTTCTTTTTTAAAAAATTTTTAATTAACAGAATTTTTAGGTAATTTTTATTTGGTAGAATTCTTAAAACGCCGAATTTTTATTCGTCCGAAATTGCAAACGGCCGAACAAACAAGCGACAGAAAAATTTCGGCGCGATGTTTAAAATTCACCAATCAAAAGTTGTCAAAAGAAATCGTGATTGGTGGATTTTAAACATCGCGCCGAAATTTTTCGTTTAAGAATTCTGTAGATTAAAAATTTGATACATTAGAATTCTGTTAAGTAAAAATTTGTTTAAAAAGAAATTCTGCACAAATGTTAATTCGAAAAATAAAAATTCGTCTAAAAAATAATTATATCTAATAAAATTATTTAAAATGAAAATTTTAACTAATAATTTTTATGGGATAATAAAACAATAATTTTCTTTTTTAAATACAATAATTTTTTACAATGCTGTTAATTGATGGAGTAAAATTTATTAAAAAAATATATCTTCCCTTAAGTTTAACAAATCTCCTATGTACAGAAAACAAAACGCGAAGAATAAACCATTATACTAAGCTATAATTATGCGTATTATAAGAATACAAAATCAGGAGCCGAGTGACGGAAAAATGCAGGAAACATAAAAAAGTCAAAAGATTAGAAATAGGGGAAGAGCACATTTGAAAAAAAGAGCTCGAAAACATTGTATGAAACAAAAATGTATAAAAATACAAGAAACTGAAATAGATCAGTTGAAGTTAAAACTGAAGAAAAAGAAAGTGAGAGAAAAGAAGACTTGGGAAAAGGTGCAAGAATTATATTTCTCTAAGAGTGGCAAAGGGATGTGTACAACAATATTATAAAATAAATAAAATCGACCTTTTCTATCTAAAAAAGAGAAAAGAGGGGGGAAATTGAAAAAAATAATATCAATTATTAAAAGAAACAATTTTTTAAATTTGCAAATAAAAATAGAATTTCGATATTATAAATGAAAAAAAAAATTGAAGAGACACAGATGCGAGAGAGTGATAAAGAGGGGGAGTCAGATGTACTTAGTGAAGGGAAAGGGGAAAGTAAGGATAAGTAGAAAGACCATAAGGTTGCGTCACAGCACGCACGCACATATCTCGAGTCACGTTTAAAAATAGAATCGGTCGGATATTAAGGACCCCCATATATACACCATCTTGTCTGTTTATTATATACGCTCCTGCATCTCTAAAACCCACCATTCTCCATTCATACTTCCCATATGCGAAAGACAATTTCACTGGCGCGCGCGATTGGAAGTCCAAACAGATCGCAATACTACACACAATGGATTCTTTCATTCGTGCTTGTTAAAAGTGCGCACGCGAGGAATATTCAAAAATTATTTATAGAATTACACATATTTATCTTTGTAAAAATTTAATCCATGATTCTTCCAAAAGAGGTCATTTTCATGTCTTTGCGTATAGTATGTCATATCTAAATGTCTTATCGAATTATTTGTTTCAGACAAAAATAAATGTTATCACATAAAAAAAAATTTTTGCTTTTTAGTTAAAAAAAACATTTAACAGCTGAAAAATAGGTACACTGCTAAACTATACTGCTGCTAATTTATTAGTTGCAGTTACTATTTTTATTGGTTGGCATAACTACCCACACAGCACAATATATTGCTGTAAGCTTATCTCAAGCTTACATGTAATTTTTGTAAGCTAACCCTGTAAGCTTCAGGTAAGATCGAGGTAATATAAAAATGTCCGCCATACAGTAAGCTTACACAGTAATGCCATGGTAAACTTACATGGTAAAGTCATGGTAAGCTTTCATGGTAGGGGCACTGTAAGCTTACACGGTAAGATCACTGTAAGCTTACAGTAAGCTTACACGGTATGCTTATATTAATTGCTAACAAATAACAAAGTATTAATTTATCAACTTGCAGTAAACAATAAATTGTTTTGCACAATTATATTTATTTTGTCATTTATATAAAAAATCCCGGTAGGGTTTGCTTAAAAAAATTTACTGCGCATTCGTAAGTGCCATAGAAAGCTACTGCGCATAAATATTTAAAAAAAATTATTTATTGATACCTTTGAAAACTTGCCGTGTAAGCTTACTGCAACCTTACAGTGACTTTGCCATGTAAGTTTACTATGGCCTTACTGTGTAAGCTTACTGTATGGCGGACATTTTTATATTACCTCGACCTTACCTGAAGCTTACAGGGTTAGCTCACAAAAATTACATGTAAGCTTGGGGTAAGCTTACAGCAATATACTGTGCTGTGTGGGTATTTTATTAGTAGGTCTGTCTAATTAGTTGGATAGAATAAATATTTAATTAGTTACCTTACTAACGAAATGGTTAGGCTAACTAATTAAATGGTAACAGTCACTAATATAAATTAGCAAAAATATTCTTACTAACGAAATCGTAATCGTTTTTCTCAGTGTATGTCGTAATCTCCGAATACTAAGGATTCGAAATCAGCGCCCTTAAAAACCCCCGAGTAAAAAGACTGAAGCAAATATATACTGAATTTAAAAATATTTTCCGCCATATTGGATGCGCCATTTTGAATTTTGAAAATCTAACTTCAGATTCGTAATCAACGACCCCAAAAACCTCCGAGAAGAAATTTTCAATCGATTTCAATAACTTTTTTTATGTATAAATCAATAGTAGACGATGTCATACCACAGTTTTCTTGTGTGAATCAAATTGATACAAGAATTAAGATCAACTAATGCAACGTTTTGATTCGATATAAGGTATCAAATTGATCCAAATATTTGGATCATTTTCAAGAAATGATCCAGAATATGGGATCATTTTTTGATACCTGAATTGGTATCAAAGTATAACTGTCATGGCTGGCATGCTCTTATTGACAAGTTTATTAATTAATTTATTCACTGCACTGAATATTCAGATATTAAAAATACTTTTATTATGAATTTTAAGAAAGAGAGAAGCGAAAACTTATAAATTGCGAGCAATCAAATAAGAAAAAATTTATTTCGAAATAAAATGAAATACACTAACCTTTTTTTATATTTATCCCATAAGATTTAAGTTAAGTTCACAATCACAACACTTGAAAATTTTTAATTATTTTTGTGGTTCAAATAATTATCAATAATTTATTTATTATAAATGAACAAAATTTAAGTAATGCACGCTTGATAAATATTTCTAATGCGTTGTCAATTAATGCAATTAATAATTTCCTATTACACAATATCATAATCGATATATATGACATTTGTAAACAAACAGGGTTGGGAAACAAGAGCCCAAAATATGTTCGTCCAAAGCAGAGTTGGGTAGGATTAAAATTCGCTTTGGACGAACATATTTTGGGCTCTTGTTTCCCAACCCTGTTTGTTTACAAATGTCATATATGTCGATTATGATATTGTGTAATAGGAAATTATTAATTGCATTAATTGACAACGCATTAGAAATCTTTATCAAGCGTGCATTACTTAAATTTTGTTCATTTATAATAAATGAATTATTGATAATTATTTGAACCACAAAAATAATTAAAAATTTTCAAGTGTTGTGATTGTGAACTTAACTTAAATCTTATGTGATAAACATAAATAAAGGTTAGTGTATTTCATTTTATTTCGAAATAAATTTTTTCTTATTTGATTGCTCGCAATTTATAAGTTTTCGCTTCTCTCTTTCTTAAAATTCATAATAAAAGTATTTTTAATATCTGAATATTCAGTGCAGTGAATAAATTAATTAATAAACTTGTTAATAAGAGCATGCCAGCCATGACAGTTATACTTTGATACCAATTCAGGTATCAAAAAATGATCCCATATTCTGGATCATTTCTTGAAAATGATCCAAATATTTGGATCAATTTGATACACCTTAATGACAATCTAAAAATGATATTGTTTTTAATTTTCATAAATTATTGGCTTAGTTGGTCTTATTTATAAATTTTATTTTAAACAAATTTTGGAAAATTCGTTTGACTAAAACAATAACTAATCGCATAAAACTTATGTAAAAAAAAAATGAAAATTAATACATTGTTTTTTGTTTTGATAGATTGGGACAAGTGTTATCACAAATGCAGTCAACATGGATTCTCATGTCGGTCTTGACTACATTGTGGATAACCCCGATTACTGTACCAAACTTGCCTCAGGTAAGTTTGCCATCAGGAAAACTTGAATTAATCTCTATACTTGAGAGAGGCACCTTTACCTTGATATCAAAAACGAAATCGTTAGCTCACTGACCATGACTCTTCCGATTTCAGCACTAGACACAGCTTGCACGTCCGTGAAGAAACAAGTAGTCGAATTACTCTCAGCCCTGTGCGTTTACAGTCAAGATGGACGACAACGTGCCATTGACACCCTTCACATTTATCAGGTAAGGTCACACAAATCTCTAAATATAAATTTATATTTTTTTTTCCCAACCAATCTTACTCATTCTATATACATAATACAATCATTATATTAATGTGATTGATTCCCTATCGATTTTCCTAATTTCTTGATTTTTTAAAAGTATATTTCCTAAAATACAAATAATTCCTATAATACAATTTTCCTAATGAAAATTTTCTAAATCTATATTAATTTTTCCTTATTTTCTAATGATTTGAATTTTTTTTTTTAATTTTGAAATAAAGTAGCAGGAATAAGTGTGGAAATTGTATCGAATTGTATTTTAATTTTCTTTTAGTCATGAAAGTCAAATAATAATGATTTTTTTTAAATGATGCAATTTTTGTTTACTGTGGCTTATTTTCTGCATAAACAAACATATTAACTACAACTTCACCTAAGAGAATTTCCAAAAAATGCACCGTTTTTAAAATGAATATTTGTTTAACAAAAGAAGTGAAATTTTCGTAAAATAAAGCGCATTTTTTGTTAAGGGTATATGGGCAAAGGACGTTTTTTGTGGTTTGAAACTTTCTCTAAAATAAAAAATAATTTCGGGTTAAAATTTTGGAAAAATGATTTAGTTTGGTGCAAGAAATCTCGTTGTTCTTCACATTTATTGTAACATAACGCAAAAATAATAAAAATAAAGCAATAAATAGTAAAATAATGTATTCTATCGTAGTTCATTCAGCGGCCACTCGCTCGAATTGGCGCTGTTTACTGGAGCACTGACACACTCAAGCAACGTCTGTGTATGCGCCGCCATCTTTGTTTTCATTTTCGTTTAAAAATGCCACTTTTTAAACTCAATTTTTTATTAATTTAACACAAAATTATGTATTTTTCGGAGAACAGCGAGATTCCTTGAACCCAAATCTATTATCCCTCAAAATTTTAGAGAAAAATCTTTTTTCATTTTAGAGTGAAATGTATACTACCAAAACACATTTTCCCATACTAGGTCACGTGGGAGGTTCCCACATACCCTTAAGAACATACTTATTACAATGTAAAAAAGATAACAATTGTAGAGAATGTTTCACTGACTAAAATGAGCTTTTGTTTATAAAAATTGGTTAAAAATTGCAATTTTTGTCTGTTTTAAAAGAAAAAAAAACTAAATGTTAAAAAAATAATTATTGACAAAATATATAAATCTATAGATTTTCTAAAATTGTTTGAAATTAATATTTATTATATTTTCGTTTGTGTTAAAAACAATTTTTTAATTTTGACAGGTTTTTGAGGTTATGTTGACCCTTCACCCTCCTTAAAAATCGTTTATCATAAATGTTGCGTACTTCAGCTTCGTTTAACTAACACGGCAGAAGTAATTTTTATTCTGATTAGTTAAACTTAAAAAAAAATCGGTCTTTTTATGTAAATTACAGATAATTTATTTAAATTTTTAAAAAATAATTGTTATTAAAAAATCCTTAACGTGATAAAGAAATACGGGCAATGGATTCGAAATAAATTATTTTAACCTAAAATTAAAATTTACGAAATTTTAATGAACCTAATTTAACTTTTATCGAAAATGCATTTGAACTAATTTCTAATACACTAGACTATTAATAGACATAATTTTTAATTCATCAACTTTGTATATATTTAATATTTAAAATTTTATTTTTTATCGAAATTTTATTTAGTTTTTCGGTTGGGAATAGGTTTAAGGCCAGGTCCAAGTCGAGTCAGCTGTTCCTTTGAACCCTCATAACAAAAGGATATCCCTAGATCAATGGTCGATATCCTAGAATTGTCCCCAGGATATCCAAACCGCCGGTCTGTGGGACATCAACAGGACATCCAGAGGATATCCACAGGATATCCCTAAGACATCCACAAAATATCTATTGGATATTATATCGCAAGATATCCATGGGATATCCTCAGGATGTCAGTGGGATATTCTTAGGATATTCACGGGATATTTAATATCTCAACATATATTTTTAAAGGTTAAAATTGTTAAGCTAATATAATGAATAATAATATAATAAAAACAAAAATTTTATGAGCTTCTAATTTATTTTAAATGAAGATTTAAAACGCATTTTTCAAAGTTTTTAAATAAACTCATGCACTTAATGTATAATTAATATTAATAGTTATTCATTATTTGCGGGGAAGAATTTATATTGTTTAAAGCCAATTTATTTTCTGACAATATTAAGCATATGAATAAAGGAATGAATCACGAATGAGAAAAAAATTAGTTAATAATTTTTCAAATTAAACAACTTTCTTGAAAAACAAGTTGCATTTTATTTTATTTATATAAAATTTAATTCACAGAATATTCTCACTCGTAGTCTCATAATGACTTTAAAAACAGTATCCTGAGAATATCTTCTTGACATCCAGAAGATATACTGAGAATATCCTGAAAATATCTGTGGGATATCCTGACGATATCTATGGGATATCTGGAGGACATTTATGAAAGTCTATAGAGATATCCAGAAGATATCCTGTGGATATCCAAACCGCCGATTTTTTGGATATCCTTAAGAGATCCTTTTGATATCCATAGGACATCCCTAGGATATTTGCGGGATATTATCAATATATCCCAAGATATCTTGTGTTATTAGGGAGGTTTCAATGGAACAGCTGACACGACTTAGACCTGGCCTTAAGACATGTATATGTCCCTTGTATTCAATCTTATTTAAGGCCAGGTCCAAGTCGAGTCAGCTGTTCCTTTGAAGTTTCAATGGAACAGCTGACACGACTTGGACCTGGCCTTAAGGAGGTTCATCCCTTCAAGCGGTACTCATTCTATTAGGGGTTTTCCGTAAGTTTAAAACCGACAGCTATAGTCCATAAAAGTTGAGCTCCACTGGCCAATTTAGAGGTTAATTTGCCGTTTCTCCTCTTCTTTCTTTTATTTACATGGGATAAGTTCAAAAGTTGCTAACTTTGATTAACATTTACTTCACAACCAAACGGTAAAAAAATTTCATATTTTTGTAAAAACTGTTAAAACTCATAATTTAAAACATATTAGTTTTTGAAAAAAATCTGTAGAACCGTTTTTTTTTAAGTAATGAAAACATGGTCATTTTTCATGTTTTTTCACTGTTCCCATGTAAAACTTCAAACTTTATCAATTTTTATCTTGAAAATGATACGGTAAAATTCAATAAAATTTGAACAACACATGTAAAGTGATGTCAATAATACATCTTAAAAATTTTTAAAAAATCTGTAGAAAATCGATTTTGGGATGAACCTACTTAACTTGTTGATGTCAGACCTGGAGAAAAGAAAAAAAAGGGTATGAGATTATGTTAGGGGAAGAATTTAACGTTGGCATATGCTGATGATGTGGTTTTGATTGCTGATGACGATAGTTGAAGGAAAAAAAATTATAGCGGCTATTGAAAAAAAAAACGTTGAATTAAGAAAAGGAAGTGTGCGGTAAGGATGTTTATAGAATGTATTTTGGTGAATGGGATAAAATAAAGGATGAGAGGGGATATAGGAGATGTTAGAGCAAAAATGGATGATTATGTGATAATTAAATAAAAAATTTATAAATTTCTTTCACAATGAATTAAAATTGTTTATCAAGTGCCGAGTGGGTATTTTAATCAATTTAACGCGCTACTTGATTCCGTTCAATTAATGTAGACAATTGAATCTAATTTCCTCGATCAGACAAAAGATATAAAACCCATAAAAATTGAGCATTTAATTTTTTTTAAGTTTTACAATTTTTTATGTTAGGTCACTTGGTACCTGGTTTTTTTTTTTTTTTTATCAAAAATTAATTTCTAATAACGAAAAATTATTATTTAACAATAATTAAATTAACAATAATGATATTGAAATATTTAATATTAAATTAAATATTTAATTGTAAATAATAATTTGTCTTCTATAATTCATGTGATCAGTTTTAGAAATGTTCCCACAATAAAAATAGTAATAATAATAATAATGCGAGAAAGGAATTTTAATGAATAATATTGGTTTATCTTAAAATATTTTTTCAGGAGCGTAAAGGCGAACGATATCGATTACGAGTCGTCGTCGATGAATTACAGAAAGCAACGGCGGAAGACTATCAAACGGCGTTGCTGGCATTCGTCAATTGTATAGTCATTTCCACTCCGGTCCTCAAGGACCGTGTTCGAATTCGGAATGAATTTATTGGTAATTATTTCTTCTGAAAAAGCATTACATTTATATTTATATATTTCTATTTATTTGCATTAAATTTTCGCCACTAATCTATTGAAATTAATTTTAATTAAATTAGCTATAATTTTCCTGGTAATTTGGTTACTAACATTAGATTTTGATAATATTTTTTATCTCCAAAAAAAAATTTATTTGATTCAAATACTCGATTACTTGACTATTATCAAATAAATATTTACTTGAACCAAATAATTTTTATTTGAATTAAATAAATTGTACTTGAACTAATAATTTCTGTATTTATTTAACAAATACCATTTAATTGACTCAAATAATAATTAATTGATACAAATAAATATTTATTTGATAATAGTTAAGTAATTGAGTATTTGAATCAAATAAATTTTTTAAGCTTTCTGTTTTTTCCGAATTTCGTGATTTTAAACAATTTTTTCATTCTCTGTTATAAATTCTAACAATGTTTCACTCTATTTTACATTTATTTAATTTTTTTTTATTTTGCAATAATCAAGTTTTATTTTTGCATTAATTTAATTATAAATAATTAAAATAATTAAGTTGCAAATTTTGATTAGATTGCAATTATATATTAATCACAGAATTATATGTATGTAAATTGCTTCATAAATTGGCGTATAAAATATTTTTTCTATCTAAATAGCACTTTTAATAGAATAATTATAAAGTTTTTCTACGAAACTTAAAGAAAATTGCATCATTTTTAAGTAAATAATTATCGATTATAATTGCATAATTGCAAACTGTTTTTTTTTCTTTTAGGTTTAAAGCTGCTCTCGATTCTCAACGATCTTCGGTGAGTACTGGCTCGTCGGCCCTGCATTATGATATTAACATGATTAACACTTTAACATATTGTGGAATAATAAACATTTGATGAGCGAATAATCGAAGGCTTTATTAATCCATTTTCCCTCTCCAATAATTACATATATATATATAGTTTCACGTATTTATATATACATAAGCGAATAAACGAAAATAAACGAAAACCATATGTGTAAGGAATCAATGTTCTTATATTAAATACTGAAATTTCATTTCGAATCAATTCAAAACTAAATTTTAATTCTTTTAAAATGTGAAATTTTTTTTCCAAATCAATACGAATTAATCCGAAGTTAAATTTTAATCCATTTAATTTTAAATTATGAAATTTCATTCCGAAAAAATACGAACCAATTCGGTTTCAATAGGATTGATTCGAAATGGAATTTTAGGAATCAAAAGAATTAAAATTTAGTTTCGGAATGAAAAAACAGAATTGAAAAAAGAATTAAAATTTAGCCTCAGAATAAAACGGATTGATTCGGAAAAAATATTCTGTTAAGGAGGTTTTATAGCGGAAATAGAATTAACATTAGGAATTTAATGAAACTTGGTCCACCATTAGATAAATGTTTGAAAATTATGTAGGTAAATTTTTGAGACCTCTAGGTTCTTGTGAAAAAGGTATGAGCGTTTTTGGTTTTTAACAATTAACATTGAGTACTTTTCATACAAAACAGAGATATAATGATTAAATATCAGTTTAAAAAGTGTCATTAGGATCTTGTTGGAGTTGCAATAAATTAATTTTTAACAATATTTCACTTTTAATACGTTAAATTGAATAATTGTCAGAACTTCTGGTCTGGCAACGTTGCACACTTGATCATGCGCGTTATACGTTAATTTTGCGCGCTAAATTTTAAAATGTTGATTCTGATAGCACGTATAAAATACGTTATATTTAAAAAGAAAATAAAGATAATAAATAAAAAAAACCGCTGCCAACTTTTTGTGTTCATAAAATGAACACTTTGCTTCCCCATGGAGATTTTTTGTGATCAAATTTTATGGTAACTTATTTGGTATTATGATAATTTTAAGAAGGTGTTCAGTTGTATTTTTGGGTATTTGCAGAGATAGATTTTTAACATCAATAACTTTGTAATATTTCACAATAAAAGGTTTAATAGTAGATCAAATGATTCGTTTTTAAAGATTCTCCAAGTTGTTCATAATACTTTTAAAGATACATGAATATTATTTAATAAATAAGGCAAAAAGGCAGGTTTTTCAAAATTTTTCAATTTCAAAATGTTAATAACTCTATAGATAAAATAACAGTAGGATATTCGCTAATAGGTCAAAAGATGCGTCTTCAAAAACTCTACAAAACTATACAGTTAAAAATCTATTGGTGTCGATACCTTTTTTTAAAGTTATGGGCAAAAAACTCTTTTCTTTAATATTTAAAAATTCAATAACTTTGAATAGAATATCAGATTTTTCATTTTTCAAAGTATTTACTTTTTTTATAATAAAAGTTGTAAATATAATAAAATTTTGTTATTAAACAATTTTTAATTATCTTATCTTTTCCTTTATGAATAAAATTGTTACATAAAAAGCATTATAAAAATTTCAATCAGCAATGCAGAATATTAAATAATTCAAAAGTTTTTTAGTCAGGAAAAATAAAAAATTAGTCAGGGAAAAATCAGGGAATTTTGAAAATAAAATTTTGCGGCCACCCTGAAAAAAAAAATTATCTCTTTAACTCTTATAGTATTCGAGATATTTAAGAAAATGTAGTGTAGATTATAAATATATATACACACGGAACGAAATTTTTAAAAAATGTGATTTTTGGATTCCTAAATCCTTATTTATAAGGGGGGTAGGGGGGGTTGAGTTTTTTATTTATTTGTTTAATAAATTAATTTAATTTTATAATTTTTTATTAGGTCGAAAAACATAAAGATACATCAAAAAATCAAGTTCTAAAAATTTCGGTATTACAATGGTTCCTCCATAAGGAAGCAATAGATTATACATTTTTTAAAATTAAATTAAAGTTAATTAAATAGAGGGATAATTGTTTTATTAAAGTAAACAAGTCATAGCAACCATTTATAATATTCGATTGACGTAATGCGGTGTTGCCAGACGTTTCAAAGTACCGAGCAAGTCAAATCATACAATAATGGTTTCTGTTTTGATTAGTTCAGTCAATCCCTATAACCTCCTTAAGTTACATTAAAAATTATACGGAAAAAAATGGAAAAACGAATAAAGTAACTTTTACTACTTTAAAAGTAAAAGCGGAACTGTCCGCAGTTTCTGGCAGTTTTTACTCTAGAAATAGTAAAATTTACTATTTCCGGAATAATTTTTACTATTTTAGGAGTAAATTTTACTATTTCTGGAATAAAAATTGACAGAAATACGCAGAAACTGCGTAAAGTTCAAATTTTACTTTTAAAAAAGTAAAAGTTACTTTATTCGTTTTTCCATTTTTCTCCGTGTGGATTCGGATAGAAACTGATTGGCTTGGAAATAAATTTCATCGTTCTTAAATCATAAGAAATTATTAGGTATACATTTTATTTATTATTTTTTAAGTAAATGAAACGTTGTTTTCTAAAATTCAATTACATAATTACAACTGATTGATTAATGATAACTTACATTAAGAGCATTTGAACCTTCGTGACGTCACAAATCATGGCGCATGACACGCAAACTTCTCAGGTATGTGAAAAGCACAATTTTGAATATTTTTTAAAAAAACCTTTTGGAAAATGTTCAGAATAACATAGACTCTGTCTGTTATGTGCGGAAAATTCAAAATTTTGCGTTTAAAACGTTTTTTAAACAATGTTAAGGTCACAAATCATGGCGCATGACACGCAAACTTCTCAGGTATGTGAAAAACACAATTTTGAATATTTTTTAAAAAAATCTTTTGGAAAATATTTAGAATAACACAGACTCTGTCTGTTATGTGCGAAAAATTCAAAATTTTGCGTTTAAAACGTTTTTTAAACAATGCCTACATATAAGCAATTCGTGTATTTTTCCTTACTTGTGACAACCAACTTAAACATTGTTTAAAAAACGTTTTATACGCAAAATTTTGAATTTTTCGCACATAACAGACATAGTCTATGTTTCTCTGAACATTTTCCAAAAGGTTTTTTTAAAAAATATTCAAAATTGTGTTTTTCACATACCTGAGAAGTTTGCGTGTCATGCGCCATGATTTGTGACCTTAACATTGTTTAAAAAACGTTTTAAACGCAAAATTTTGAATTTTCCGCACATAACAGACAGAGTCTATGTTATTCTGAACATTTTCCAAAAGGTTTTTTTATAAAATATTCAAAATTGTGCTTTTCACATACCTGAGAAGTTTGCGTGTCATGCGCCATGATTTGTGACGTCACGAAGGTTCAAATGTTCTTAATAAATTAATTGCAGTTATTTAAATTTTATGGAGATTAATGTATTTTTTGTTCAAAAAACAAAATATAATAATTTCTTTAAATTTTCTTAATTTTAGAATTAAATAAAGTAATTAACTTTTTTTAAAATTATTTAATAATTTTTAATAACTAACTAATCCTCTAATAATAATGGCTATTAACGAATTTTTTTTTTGTTTTTTTGAGAAAATTATGTGATGCGTTAAAAAAATTAATTATAACAACAAGAAGAAAGTTATGTGAAGAATAAAACATTTTAATAGAAAAATTTTTTAAGAAATATTTTTAAAATTTAAATCTGAGTGAAAAAAAATATTTTTTCAATTTTGAGACCTTGTTAAATTGTAAAATTGAGATAACTGTGTCAGGTGTAATAAATATAATGAAATTGTTGACGATCCAAAGTGTTGACAAGACTTGTCGATCTAAATTGCTTTTGAATTATTCAAATTCTAGAAATTATCATGAATCCAATTTTCTACAGTTCCACATATCTATATTATTCATGAATATTCTATTTGAAAAGAATTTCGAAAAAGCACTATTACTGGATTTATTCTGAATATTTTTATCTCATTTTATCTAATTATGCAAATAATCATTAGAACTTAATTAAGTAACGCATTTTTTCTAAATTAAAAATTGCGTATATTTTATTATATAATATACTTTTTTTTATATATATTTTATCATATTATATCTAAATGAATTTAGTTTAATCAAAATATACATATATTTATTTGAATATATAAATGTTTACTGAAAGAAATACGAGTTTTTTGTATTTGAAATTTTTTTTTTCGTTGCCAAAATGGAGAAAAGAAATTTTTTATGAAAGAAGAAAATATTTTAGAATGTTTTATGTTATTACAAATAATGAAAAAATGAAAGAAAGGAAAGCATTTAATGAGAGAAGTATACTAGAAATGAAGTAATCGCCTACTTGGGCCGATGACTCAAATTCAGAAAATAGTTCAAAAGAACACAAGAAGGAAGATGAAAGCAGAATCTCTCCGGCGCCAGTGAGCAAGAAATAGACTCATATACGTACGATATTCTAATTCTTCTCGCTGTCTTTCTTTTTTTCTATTTTTTGTTTTCAAAAATTTTAAACACAAGTATAAATGTATATATAAAGTCGAAACTCGATGATTAAACACTCGATAAATTGAAGTGTTCATCGGTTCTCTTCAAAAACTTTTGATAAATTGAAAAAAAAACCATTGTTTTAGATCCCTTAATAATTAAAAGTTTTTTTGACTACAACTTTTCCCCCTATAAATTGAATTCGTCTAGCCGAACTCTCTGTAATTTTAATTTTTCTCCATAGATGGAAATGAATACTTTTATTGCAAAATAAAATTTATATAATATAATAAAATTTATTGCATATAAAAGTTATTGCAAATATTGTACCATGTAAATACAGTACTTCAACAGAGGGTCGATTTTGTAACTTTCCCACATTTCAATTTCCACTTTTCACATCATACTTTCCACTTCCCAGTTTCAGTTTCCACGTCCCTTTTTTCACCTACCAAAT